AGTAACTCAAAAGTAGTGTAATGCATTACAATTCAGAGACAGTAATATTGTAATGTAACTAATTACTTTCAAAAGACAGTAACTAGTAATATATAATGTATTACATTTTGGAAGTAACTTGCCCAACACTGTTTATTTGTGCCAAACTGCTGCATATGATTGATGTTTTGTCCTTTTTGAAACGGAGTCAGACAATGTTTACTTCTTTGTTAATGGAATAAAATACTTGTTTCAACAATTTAAACCAGTCTTTAAACTAATTTCTGGAGATTTGTCATTTTGTAAATGCATTTACGCTATAGACCTAGACTCCCTGTGTTCTACTACCGTTCACAATTGTGACCAGACATTAAACCCATTTTTTCATGGACTTTTCAATAATTTTTTTTAAATAATTGACATTGATTGCTTAATATCCTTACAAATATCACACAAATTCATATATGTCATATCTGGGAAAAATTTGGGATTAAATGGGTTAATACTGTTATTGTTGGTATTATTATTTTTATTATTTGTAGATGTTTTGTAATTGAGACTGACGATTGTGAAATGTAGATTGCAGTAGTAACACATTATGGTATTACCTATATGTTGTAAATAAAGGTGATTTCAATCTCTCTCTCTCTCTCTCTCTCTCTCGCGCGCACACACACACACACACATGATGCACAAAACTTGCTCCGCATTTGAACAGTCAATAGCAAATACTTAAACTAATAACAAAACAGTAGCTGATTCAGAAGCGCCAGATTGTCATAGTAAAGTCAGAATTACCTCCTCTCCTAGGTTCACGAAACGGTCGTCCATAAAATGCATTGCTGTTCTGTTGTAAGTAATCTTAAAGATTCCTAAATGTATCTACTTTCGGAAATGCCAAATGAAGTGCTTTTGCTTTCGCCTAGAAACACACAGTGTCTCCCTGACATGGCTGCTTCAACACTAACTGCGGTTACTGAAACCACGCCTTCTTTCTTTGCGTGCTCATTTGGGCGGCATTATGCAAATATTTCCATATAGTGTGGTAGATATGTGGGGGCGTGTTAGAATGAGCCGTTTTAGGGGGGCGTGGCAGAGTCTTAACTTTGATAAAGAATATCTCTTTGGTTTTGAGACTTTAGTCTGTGCAACTTCAGGGATCTTATCTATGCACAATCAGCTTGTAACACTCCAAAGAGAAAGGAAAACTTGAAATCGCATCATATGACCCCTTTAATACATTTTTATTTCCAATGTTCTATTGATATTTTTATTTATTTATTTCTTATGCATTTTTTGTGATTGTTTTTAAATCCCTACTATGGAAAGCACTTTCAACTACTATCGTGTATGAATTGTGCTATACAAATAAACTGAAAAAGTATACAGTGTGCAATTATGAATAGTTCAAACTGTAGTTGGCAACATTGTTGTCAAATTACCACCAGAAAATATACTAAAAATTACAAGAACACCACAGAAAGGTAAAGATAAACACGTCTATAGTAAATGAGTTGCTTACCTCGTTGTCCGATTCGACCAGAACCTGATCGTACTCGCTCAGAGCCACCAGGAACATGATGGACGTCACATTCTCAAAACAGTGGATCCACTTCCTGCGCTCTGACCTCTGACCCCCCACATCAACCATCCTGAAAGACAAAGAGAGCGAGCGTTTGCATTATTGATTTGTTACTGACTTTATATACATTAATAATTCATGCTTATACTGTGCACAGTATGCAAATCTTCTTTATGCATGAAAAAACGTGTTAAAATGCACAGTACACAACCAGAACATGCTGCATGGAGCACTGTATCCCATAATGCAATGACCTTACAGTCTCATGTGTGCTGAATGCACTGAAAGTGATATCAAACACTTGAACTCCTTTTTGACACATTATTATATGCAAGTTAAGACATTTTGAAGCATATTTGAATTAAAAAAGCAAATTAACTATATTCATCGTTTAGATGACACCTGGGCTGACTGAATCTACAATATAGTGAGGCCATGTGACAGCAGCACAGTACAATACTGTTTGTTTATCATTGCATAATGCATACTTTTTTTTACACATTAAAAAAATATTAAGCAATATAGAGTATATGTATACTTACAGTATACAGTGTACATCATAGTATGCACTATGCAAGCATTTAATTCGGAACTAAATCACAAATATGCATACTGTGCAGTATATACTGTATATTATTAAAAAAAAAATCATATTTGATATATATATGCATTGCATGTTAAATCCAGCCAGTCCAGGAATCATCTTCCAAATAAAAATATTTTTAATGCAATTTAATGCAATGCAATTTTGTTAAAAATATAGGAAATCTGCAAACTTTGGTAACACTTTATTTTAAGGTGTCCTTGTTACACGTTACATGTACTTACTATTATAATAACAATTAATTATGCATAATTACATGCAAGTAGTCCTAAGCCAAACCTTAATCCTAACCCTAACCATATAGTAAGTACATGTTGTTAATTAATATTACTCAGTACTTAAATTTATTACACTGTAACAAGGACACCTTAAAACCTTAAAATTAAGTGTAACCCAAACTTTTTTTGCAAAACAAAAAGCATAATTCAAAAACATAGTACAGTACTGTTTATTTACCATGGCATAATGCATACTTTTTCAGTTTTACATACCATTTAAAAAACAGTAGGCAATATACATTATATGTATACTTACAGTATACTGCATACAATGTAGTATGTATAGTATAAATATTTCAAATAGTATGCTACACTGCTGTCACATGTCCACATTATGTTACATGTGTAAATAAAAATATTTTTAACGCAATTATATAAAATTTAAAAGAAAAAATATGTAATGCAATTTTGTGTAAAATGTTTTTATGTGAACACCTGTCAGTCCAATCACATAATGAGTCAATAAAGATAAATGTGGAAATTTGCATACTATACACAATATGCATACTGCATTAAGAGTAGAGGTAGTATTTTAGCATGCTTTTCTGAACATATTCGAAGTCCTAAATTTCAGAAACATGGTAAATGTGTGCAGCCAGAACTGGCGCTGATTTTGGGATTCATACGGCACCCCCTAGTGGAGTCAGAGCTCCAGTCCTGAGCCAGCAGTTCACAGAGGGGCCTTTGATAAATGAAGCCCTCTAGGATTGGCTGCCCAAAATAAAGCTCCTTCAGATAGAAGCGTCCTCATTTCCTTCAGCCAGGGGCTCGCTGACCTACTTCTGAACATACACATGCTCTTTAATGTAGGACGAGTCTCCACATTCACTCCGCACTTAGCCAACTTTGGCAGGAGGACAGACAGAGAGAGCGAGAGACGTAAAAAGATAGAGAGTTTTACTCTTCAGGGAAACTCGACGCGAGGTGTGTGAGGGTTTAAGACAGTTTTACAGAGATTAACAAACCACAGAGCTGATGGTAATCATTTATGGAGTCAATATGGCAGAGAGGGCAGAAATAATCTCTTGTGTGTTTTGATGAATTTTCATATCATCACGCACATAGGAACAATTCCAAAACACACCGTAAATCTCATCAGCATCTCATCACATGCACATTTTAAACGTGTAGTCGCACTGGATAAATGTGTGCAACTATAGTAATTTTGTCATTAAACTTCAATAATTAGGCTGAAAATCTATATATCTATTCTAGGGATGCACCGAATGTTCGGCAACCGAAATTATTTGGCCGAAAATAGCAAAAAAGCTCTTTCGGTGTTCGGCCTAATAAGCGAAAAGACCAAATAAATTGTACCGAACAATGATATGACGCGATCAAATAGCAACCAGCGCAGAGTGAGAGGCGCGCACTCTTTATTATGCAGCACACACGTCAGCAGTGTGGAAGCATTTAAACTGTCGGAGAAAGACGCAAAAATCATTACGAGAGCCGATAGCGAGATACAGCTTATGACTGCATCGCAAGTCGTAAGGGAGAAGAGTAAGGGGTTACTGTATGATGATTGAGTATGATAAATGGCCTTAAACAATTAGTAAATAAACTGCAGAACGTTACGTTTTCTAATACACGCGCGCATTGCATGTATTCTGACGGCGCTGCACGAACTCGCAGCAGATCTGCTTGTTAACCAGGGTTCAAAGTCCAAAGCGCGAGGAAAATCTGCGCTGATACAGTCGTCGATTCCTCAGTCACATTTTTATGAATTTTTACAAAGCATGTGACAATGCGATACGTACGACGTATTCGTAATGAGACTCATTTATAAATCTG